GGATACGGGCTGCTGGGGCGCCAAGGGCCTTTCTGGAGGGCTCGGCTGAGCCGCGCAGGATGTTTCTTATTGAGGCTTCAAAGGCAATGGAACAATGTAGCCGCACATCCGAGGCGCTGCCGGAGCCGGAGGGATGTGGGGGGAGAGGACAATGGCTCATCCCGCTGGAGCGCCTTTGTGCCGCGGAGCCCCCCGCTCCCCGGAGAGGCCCTGGCGCCGCCGGGGAGTGTTGTCCATGTTTTGCTGCCAGTGGGGTTGGAGCGCAGCCGCAGCTGGGATGTGGCCGCAGCGGTTTCTCTGGGTGTTGTGCTCCAGTGGCGATCAGAGCAGAGCCCCCTCCGGCACGCAGCGTGTGCTCCCGGGCGCTCGCCCTCCTGCCGAGGCCCAAGGCGGCGCCGAGCTGCTGGGCTCATCGCTCTGGGGGTCTGGTGGTGGTGCTCAAGGCACTGGGCTGGGACTCATTCCTGGTTTGTGGGTTTTTGTTTTTTTTTTTTTCTCGAATTCTTCGATTTGCCTCAACCCCTCCAGGACACGGTCCCGAAAAGCTCGCACTGGATGTGCGCCCGGGCCCATGCTGTGTGGGATGGCAGCACCGTTGCTGGCAGGCTGTCCTGCATCCTGCATGGGCAGAGGGACCTGTGGCGAGCCTCTACCATGGTCAATAACATGGGAAGGCACCAGGACCTCCTGTTGCAGAGGCCACCAAGGAAGGGTGAGTGGCCGGGGTAAAGTGCTCTAGGTGGCCAGCAATGGTGCTCCTAGCAGGACCATGTTTTCTCCTATCATGTCGGCTTAGCTTTGCATTGGCTTAGCTATAATTTGTCCCTCAGGTGATATGTTCCCACTGGGAATTTGCCCTTTAAAGCTTGTCTTCTCCAGAGAGGTCTTTGGTAAGTGTCCACTGCCAACCCCTGCCTTGTGGTTAATGAATACCCACTCTGAGCTCAGCCCTGGAGCCAGTGACCCTCGTGGGCAATCAGTGCTTAAGTTCACACAGGTTCAGGATCACAAGGTGCCCGCGTGTGCTAGCAACCAGCTCAACTGGATAGGAAGATTTTTATCGTATGCTGTTGGCAGGAGATAACTTCACATGAAGCGTTTGTGTCCCAAGGCTCACTGCAGTGCTGGGGGGCTCCAAAGGCCAAGGATGTCAAGGGCTGCTGTAGGGCCAAGGCCTTCTCATATATGGAGGTGTTTCTGAGGAGCCTCAATTTGCTGGGAATTTCCATGGAAAAAGGGATCTTTCAGAGCTCCTAAACAGGCTGCTGGTGACAAGTCCTGACCAAGGATGGGGTGCTCTTTTGCTGCTCTACCTGCTGCTGCTCTCACTCCTGTGGAGGTGAACAGGTATCCCCACAGCGTAGGAGAGGAGAACGAAGGTTGTCCACTCAAAAATTGAAAGTGCTGCAAAATTCTCATGTTGCCTGCCCTTCAATAAGATGCATGTCATTGTGTCCTTATCACTATAAAGAAAGAGTGGGAATTCAGGACTGAGGAGACACTATGCCAGCTGTTATTGGTGCAAGGGCTTTATTTTATACTAAGAGCTGGCTTTATGTTACTGAGTAAGAGCTGGTGGAGCCATTTGTGTTGTTGATCCATTTGGCTTGATGATCACAAGGTGGCTGAGCCCTCTCTAGATAGTTTCCTTGGTAGCCTCTGCAAAGGAAGAGCATCGTCCTTCTGTCTACATCCATCCATCTTGCATTCCCCCATCTTTGGCCTGTGTGGCTCTCCAAGCACCGAGGAAATGGGAATAGCTTCGCTCCAATGCTTGATTTCCTAATTTCTGTGTGCCGAAACCGTGACTCCTCCTCCTATCACAGCTGCAGGATTGCTAAAGTCCAAACAGCACAAGCTGCTCGGGGAAGCACCCTCCTGCCTCTGGCCCTGCCTCCTGTGCCAGGGTGCATAAAAGAGCTCAGGAGACTGTTCCCAAGCCTCCATCTCCCTTCAGGAACCCAGGGGGACCAGGGAAGCTGCAGGCTTTCCTCCCTGCCCGACACTCTTGTGCACACGTCCAAGAGCTGCAGCGAGCAGGTAAACACAGAGCAGAGGGATACGCCAGAGGGAGCCTGGCGAGACAAAGCCGGGAAGGGGGACGGTGTCGCTGGGGGTGTCGCTGCCGCGTGGGCTCAGTGGCTGCTTCCTT